AAAAAAATACTGTCACAATAAGATGATTAGAGTCTGTTTAAAATAAGCAATTAAAAAAAAGCTATATAACATTAAACTTATAAAATCGAATATAATTATATTATTATGAATTAGAAGTTTTTTTTTTCTTCTTTAATATCCTAAGCAAAAATTAATGATTTCATACATTTTTATTTTATTATTAGATAATATCTTTAAAAATGAGCAAGTAAAACATGTTTCAAATCGATCATATTACATCATAATGCAATTAATAATAAATTATTATTTATAATCTTTTTATTTCGAAGAATTTTAAATTTATTTATATACATCAGATATCTAGTACTTATCATTATATCGATCATATAAACTCATATTCATTGCATTAATGATAATGTATTTTTCTTTAATAAAAGTTATATTAGAAGAAAGGGGGAAAAAAAGCATCTTCAAGATATATATAGCTAAGTACGAAGATGACTATGATTAATATTTTATATACTTATTATAAAAAATATAATTCCTAGATATTTCAAAATAATCTCATATAAAAGCAGATCTTTTACAATATGATTAATATATTTCTTTCTTATTGATATATATATACATATACATTAATATTTGACTTACCAGCTGTTGTTTCATTGAGTAATCGAAGACAATTCCATCCAGCTATTTGTGCAGCATTAAACATTGCACGTCGTTCAGCATCAGTAAAATAACAAGGTACCTTAGAAAAAAAAAAAAAAATAAAAAAAAAAAAAAAAAGAAAGACAAAACTTACACCAATAACACAATCAACAGGTTTTGTTGATGATTCTGTATTAGTAATATGTTTTAATTTTGAAAACATAATACCAGCTATTTGTTCAGGTGTAAAACGTTTACGTTCATTAAGATAATTTACTTCAATATTAACTGAACCACCTTTGCCTTCAACAATAGAATAAGAATTAAGTTCTTTTTCTTGTTGAACATATGTATCATGATATTGACGTCCTAATAATCGTTTAAAATTACAAATTGTATTTTTTGCATTTGTTATTTCCATTGCTTTTGATGCTTGACCAATTGCACGAGTTGATTTATCAAATGTAACATAAGTTCTAAAGAAATTTTTCAGTTTCTTATTTCAAAGAGTGAGACAGAAAAAAAAAGAAAATCTTTAAACTTACGGAGTAAGACGATCGGAATATTCATTTGCAACTATTTCAACACCTCCAGCACGGGCAACACCGATATACGATGAAAAATTGCCCATATCAAGGCCAACAACTGCCTAATTAAATAAATTAAATATTAGAGAAAAACAAAAAAAATTCATTTGAATTTACCATGTTTATTTTATTGAGACAATCAGATGTAAAATAAGATAATCTATAATTGATTTAAAGAAGATACTCTAATATCAAAGAAGACAGAAATTTATAAGAGAAATTATTGATTGACAGATTAGATATAAAAAAAAACATGAGAAAGGTAGTGAAAATGGAAGAATTTTCTCGACTATTCGAGAATGAGTATGTATTAGAGTAAATTTGTTCTGCATATGTTGGTATTATATGGATTACATTATATATATATGATTTCACAATTTCGATCGGAAGAGTCTGACCTCTAGTGAAAATAATATTTACTATTTAGGTTGAGTATTGATTAAGATGAAAGTGAGTTCTAATATTTTCAAGTAGTTCTTATCCAAAATTATATTCTTGACGCAAAACTCGTACTAAAATAATTTTATCTACATGCAATATAAAATAGAAATTTTTGGACGATATTTTTTTAATTGACAAGAGAATTTCTCAAAGTGTCAAGTTGGTTTTTCGATCTCGACTATATTCATTTGATGAATATTAGTGAGCAATAGAAAAGTCTACAATGGCTTCAGTTTCCTGGCCTTCATTTCTGAAATATCGAAATTCTACTAAATTTTTCAATAAAAAGTTGTCATTCTTCTTAGATCGGATGAAAAGTCGACTTTTGAATTTTCGACTTCAAAGTTTATACGAACAAAGTTCGTAATAAGATTTGTTCATTAGATAAGTTTTAGCTTTTCAAATATTTCCTTTCTAGACATAGTAAATATATAAACAAAATTTGCTTTTACATATGAGAAATTTTCGAATGTTCAATATATCAGGATAGGAGATACTAGAAAAGTCACAACTTATTCAGTGAATTAATCTCATTAAGAACTTTGTTTTTGTAAAGTTCAAATTCGAAAATAGATTTCTCAGATGACCTAAGGAAAGCGATCACAGTTTTCTGTTGAAAGATTCACTAAAATTTCGATATCTCAAGAATGAAAGCCTGAAAAACTAAACAATTTTAGACATGTCTATTACTCACCAGATGAACATCGTCTCGAATGAAAAACGATTTGATATGTGGAGAGGTTCTTTGATAAGTTATTTTTTTAAACAGAATTATTTCTAAAAAATATCTTAACCTCTATAATTGGAAAAGAAAAGCAGATGAGTTATATTTTAGTAACTTAAACTGTTTAAAAGTAAACTGTCTATAATGTAATATGCCTATTTTATGATAAACAACCCAAAATATTCATGTAAAGTCTTTATCATCTTTTTTTTACAAATATGACATTTAAAAGAGTGTCGGATCCTGCATAAAATAGTAGATATTTAGAAGTTTGACAAAAGATATTTTCGTCTTTTGAAGGATCAATTTTTGAAAGATATGAAATGTTTGATACTCTTTCGAATGTGAATTTTGAAAAGAACAGTGATAAAGATTTTACATGAATATTATATGTTGTTCGTAGTACAATAGACATAATACATGATAGAGAATTTCATTTTTAATAGTTTTCATTTAAAAAAAATGTAGTTGATGTTCTCACCTTTCTATTTATATAAGTTCAGTTTTTATTTTCGAATAGTTCTGATAAAAAATCACTCCGTTTAAAAGATCATACAAAAAATTTTGTTGAATAAAAAACAACTAGTTTAGATTGTGATATGTGTTCTATTTCACAACAACTCAACATTTAGAGGTGAAATTTTTTTTTGCGATGTAACATGATGGAAAAATGTTTAACAGCAATGCATTATTTACTTTTTTTTTATATAGTGTTAAGCACCTAGCTCAAATCTAGAGGGTGATTTCAACAACCAACAGAGTTTTTCATCTAATGCATTCTATAGTAAAATTTCATAAATGAACTATGATAGCAAGATTTCTAAAAAAACCAACTATATTTAAACAATTCCATTTCAAAGAGCATAGAAATCTAAACAAAATCATCGATTGTCGCATTTTCTGCAATCTCCTCTGAAAAAAATTAAAATTATCACTAAAAATCAAAATTAATGAAAAAAAAACAACTAAAAAACGTCTTTTTTTGTTTTTGTAATTTTTTTTACCTTTTTAAGGAATTTTTGTAGAAAAAGTAACGACCTCTTATTTTGTTCATATTTTTATGCTCTCCGAAATGTAATAGTTTAAACATAGTCTACTTTTTACAAATCTCTTTATCGTAGTTAATGTATGAAATCTTACCATAGAATGCATTAGATGAAAAAACTCCATTCGTTGTTGAAAATACCCTCTAAATTTGAGCTACTTGCTTAACATTATAGAAAAAACCAAATATATTTTGTGTTGTTGAACTTTTCTCCCATTTCTTTAATATAGATATTGACTCTCTTTTTGACGAAAACCATCCATCACAAATAGACTTGATAACAAAGTTATACTACTACAAACAAATTTGTCTACTAACTTTTATCCAGTAATTGTGTATAGAATAATGCGATAAACAACTGTCAAAAAAGAAAAATGAGATATCTCTTTGTTTGGTATGACATTGTTCTAAATCAAGAACGTCAAAATTGCTGAAAGCCCAAAAAGATAGTTTTCATTCTATTGTAAACTAATTGCTCTTACATATGTATATGCTGACGGAGTTGTCATATACTTTATCAATTCTATTTCCAAAATGGACATTCATTCATAATTGTGCATATAAGACATAACCTTTAACACTAAATAGGAAGTGCCTTATAACATATAAAAGATAATATTAAGAAACTGACGAGGGAAGGTCAACAACTGTTTGATTGTTTGTTTTTTATTGAGACTATGTACATTATGTGAATACAAATAAGCTATGAATACTCTGAAAAAAGTTCAAGCCACTAGCGCATTCCTACGGAGATACTGCACTTTTACGGTACTTTCTTAAATGAATGCCGTGATTCCCCTCAGGAACACCAGGAAAAATGATTTCCGAATTTCAAATAGAAACTTTACATAAAAATAAGCATTGTCGAGAATAGTTTTTTGTGACAGTTCCAGGTCTTTTGTTTTGTTTCTATCTTAACATGAGAACATAAAATCTTCTGGTTTATCCGAAGACAGTTAACCTAGTTGTATCTACGGATAGGAACAACAATACGTGGAACTTTCGCAAAAAACTATTCTCGGTACGGCCTGTTTTTATGTAAAGTTTCAATTTGAAATTCGGAAATCGTTTTTCCTGATGTTCCTGAGGGTGATCATGGCATTCATTTAAAAGAATATTGTAAAAGTGCAGTATCTCCGTAGGAATATGCTAGCGGCTCGAACTTTTTCCGAGTATTCATAGCTCATTTGTACTTATATAATGCATATAATCTTAATGCAAAAGCGATCGGACAGTTGCCGACCTTTCCTGGTTTAGAATAACTATCACTGATCGCAAAATCACAATGCACTCTATTTAATTTAGTTTACTAGAATTTGTTCTTTTTTCATTTTATACGAATTCACTATTTTAACTATGAGATTTATTCATCAGTTTTGATTCAACACTATTTGAAAAAGAAAACCCACTATGAAATGATCTGAATGAAAAAGTTTGTTTAATAATCTACTGAATATATATTAATCGAATTAAATGATGTTATACAAAAAGAAAATGTGTCACGTGAAATAAGTATTAAAAAAAAATCTTCATAATCTTGGAAATTTATTTTTGAAAATAAAAAATTAGATTATGATTAATATTGCAATTATTATTGTAAATGACCTTTAATAAAATCAAATAAAAGATTTTGTTTATCAAAAATAGCAACATTTCTCGGAGGATCTGGTGTGCGTTTTAATAAATCGTTTGTATTTCTAGTATAAACTGCAAGCGGTTTTGTTCCAAGATGAAGATTCTCAAAAAGTTGAGCAACATGAGTAAAACCTTTTTTTTCTTGTGCAAAATAACCGCGACATATAGTAATAAATTTTTCTCGTTCTTCGGTATCGCGTGAATTCTGCTGCAAATATTCTTCAGCATCTTTATATGTTGATTTAAAGATTATTTCTAATGTTGGATGACGTTTTTTAATTTCATCAGTTTCTTTTCGAACATTTTCAGGTGAATCCATCCAAAGTAATAGTGGTTGTAAAGCAGGTTTACTTGATGCATCGTGAGTTGAAGGATTGGATGATTTTGGTATATGTGAAGATACTAGAAAAAGATATTGGATTTAGATAGAACAGAAAAACTTAGCTAATTGCTATTTGATATATTATATACTAATGGATATGGAACTGTTGGAGATACAAGTGATTTATTATTGTCTGAAAAGTGATTTAAAATAAGTTTTTTTTTGATGAAGAGAAATTATTTGAAGAATAGAATCACTTTATGTAGGAAAAATCATAATAGAGCATAGATTTTGATTGATCGCTTATGGTTATTCGTCTTAAAACTATGACGGTATGCTATCGATTATGTATATTGTAATAAAAAAAAAGTCTGCTTCGATCTCAATACTATCTAACTATAGATTAATCATAGTCAAACTAATCAATGGAATGATTCAACAAAGAATATATAAAGTATTTATATCATATGCCTATTATTCTGATTCACTCTTGTTACAATATCTAATGACGATTGCTATAATATGAAACTCAAATGATGGATCATGAACAATTCCATATTAAGTTACTCCTCTATTGAGAGCTGAAATTAGATAACAAGAAGATTATAGATCAGCATAGAAAGTTATCTACTACAAAATGTATGCTTTCGAATTTACATTGATCGTTTTATCGCAATTTTAAATAAATATTTGTCTTTTTACTTACTTCCATCATGTTGTATATGTGATGCCCGACAACCTGAATTCCATA